ACCTTCCAGGCAATACATAGCTTTTGTTGTTGTATTGTTACGTGTCATCAAGTCGGAACTGCCCAAATAGCATAGAAGCAGCTGGAGCAGCTGGTGAATTTGAACCATGTGCCTTTGGGTTTACAGCGCAGCTTCTTACTAATAGGCCAGCAGAGCACCCTGAGATAAACCCAAACACTTATAGCTACAAGGCCTCACATCCTTGCCTCCTACTCAAATCTCAGACTGCACTTTGTTCCACATTGCTCTCCTTCCAATTATCTTCTGTCACTGTGGGACTCTGTCCTTATCCAGGGCTTTTACATTTCCAAGTCCTTTTGCTAGAAACATCATTTCCCTAGAAATGTCCTCACCGATCTTGAGTTCATTACTCTGATCTCAGCTCAAACATGGCCTTCACAGACACACACACACCCTCCTCCCCCCACCCCCATCAAGTGGCTTCAACCTTACACAGTCTTTATTGCATTACTTGGTTTCATTTTTGCTTGTGTATTCACTAGTCAGTGACATTTATTTTTATTACAGTATGTTTCTCTTTCCTTACACTAAAGCATAAACTGCATGAGAAGAGACCCCGGCTAGCCCTCTAGCCTTTTCTCAGGTCATGTGTTGCAAGCTTCAGCAAAAGTGCTCTTGTTCAAATACTTTCATTTTTGTTTCAGAAGTTTTCAGAGTGAGCAGAGCAGGAAGAGGAGGTATGGCAAGTGGGAATGGGTGGGTAATAGAGTGTCGACAGCATATAAACTGGTGGCAGAGCCTGATAGACCAGATGTCATAATACTTGGATACTCTTCCCAGTCACTGTATGACCACTAACAAGTCATGCTCTCTGCCTTTCACAATCTCACAAAAGCTTGTCACTCAGCTGTTTAAACCAGTTCGCCAGCTTCGTCACTTCTTCCTGCTCACCCACATCACACATGAATATTAAAGGGCCACACTGAAAAAGAGAACAGTGAGTACATCAAACCCAGGGAGAGGTCACAATGCTCACAAACCTGACAGTGAACTTGAAAAGCAACAGACACAAATAATGATTGGCTCGAATGCAGCAAAAAAGAGAGTAGCAACCTAAATTGATAACTTTACAATCTAGATGCTAAAAGGATGGTTGTCAAACTCAATATATTCGTATAGCATAATCTAAAATTCCAAAATTTGAGAAACAACTGGAGGTGAAAATGTGGACTGTAGAGATGAAAAGATGAAAAAAAATAAAAATCACTGAATAAATTAGTAATTAATACAACACTTCAAGAGTATAACAATGCCTCTTATTGTTTACAAGATCTCGAAGACAGTATTTGTGATAATTAATCATTCTTGGACAAAGGTTCTACTTAAATAGAATAATTGTTGCCTTCACAGTTTTCATTGGCATAACCTGGAAGTAAAATCATACCTTTCCTGAAAAATTGTCTTTAGTGATATTGTCACTTATATTAAAACATCTTTGCTAGCTTCTTATAATGGTGATTTTATACCATAATTATCCTTTTTACTGGTTTATATAACTCAGAACCATTTTCTCTAGATCCATCCATGTGTTTGTGGTTGTTGTTGGAGTTATGTGCTGTTGACTCTCCTAAGACTCATGGAGACCCTATGAACTCTGTATTATTCGTCAGCTTTTTCATCATGCTCTAATGCGTGACTGTACCCTAGTTTCTTTAGCCATTCATTCACCCACTGATGGCTTTAGTCTTTCTCCGTCTCTTACCTATTGTAAATAATATTACGGTGAACATGATGAGTGTACATATATCTGTTTGGATGGCCACTCATGCTTCATTGGGATATATTTCTAGTAGTGGGGCTGATGAATCAAATGTTATTTCTATCTACAACTTTCTAATGAAGTATCTAACTACTTTCCATGGTGATTATACCATTTTACATTCCCACCAATGGTGTATCAGAGTCCATGCAAATAAGTCCTTTAAAAGCTAAAATACAAAAAAAAAATTCTTGTAATAAAATGTTTCTACTTCTTTCATCATGATCTACAAATAATGCAGGTCCAATTCTGTTTGACAGACTTTGCCTGTTAACAGAATAGATAGTTGTTGTTAAGTGTCAAGTCATAGACAACTCATAGCAACCCTATGAATGAAAGACCTGAACACTTGTATAACTTTCATAGTTTCTGCAAGTTCATAGGGTTTCCAGAGGCAAGCTATTTCAGAAGTGGATGCCACTTCTGCTTCTATGCTTGTTTTCATCAGTGAGTTCCACTAAACACTGTCCACCATGGATAACCATTATCGCACTTGCCACATCAGTGTTGCAGTGTTCAGCATCACAGCAACCATGAGTTACCTCTGTACAGCAAATGGACAGACAAGGGCTATATTACTTAGAAGAATATTTGACCCAGAACAATTAAAACCAGGCCTGAGGGCCACAGATAAAATCACCCACCTTTGAGTTGGTAACATAACTTTCTATCCAACAGACCCGCAGAGCTCTATCTATGTTGGTGGTGTTGTTGTTAAGTGCCATAGAATCGTGGACAACTCATAGCAACTCTATGAACAGAAGACCTGAACACTTGTATATATAGTAGACTATCTTCAAACAGAATTTATATGATGATCAAAACTGTGCAGCGTAAGGAATTCCAGCAGCATGCTGTATTATGCGTTGTGCTGCTAATGTCTGTGGTTAAACTCCATCAACCATTCTAAGGCACAAAGATGAACAGTCTCCACCTATAAAGATTTATAGCCTTTGAGACCTGATGGAGGGTTGTCATGAGGCTGAACTGACTCAGTCAGTGGAGATTTTCTGCTAGAGCAGAGCATCATGACATACCGTTCAGAAACGACAGTGAATTCCTTACCTGCTATTTCAAACATTCTAAGCCTACTATCCTCACTCAAAGAGAAACTATGTGTATACAAGTAATAAATACCGTTTAAAAAAAACAGCGGACTGAAAAATGTCTATAAATATCTTAAACCATATTAAAATATATAAAGTAAACATCAAAAACCAATTTATTAGAGGACTTGTCTGTTCAGAAGTATTTGTCTTAATCTTCTGTGTGGTCGTTTCTTTAAGTAGTAGTAGAGACAGAGAGAATTTTGTGGAGACAAAGTCTCTGCTTCATGGAGTTGACTTTTTTCCCAGTGGGAGAGAAAGATAATAAAATAAAATGTTAGTCTTTAAAAATTTCCAAATTATGATATAACTTAAATCACACCAACATGATTACTAAGAAAATGGTTGCAGCATGCATCAACAAGGAACTGCTAGACATTTAAACCAGATTCAACAGAAGATGTGAAACCAGGGAAATCATTGCTAATGTCAGCTGAATCTTGGTTGAAAACAGAGAATACCAGAATGTTTACTTGTGTTTTATTGACTATACAAAGTCATCCAACTCTGTGGGTCCTAACAAACAGTGGATAACATTGTGAATAATGAAAATTCTAGGATATTCAGCTCTGCTAGTGTGGAGCTTGCATATAGAACAAGAGGAAAATTAATCAAATAAAATAAAAGTGATTGCTATTCTTAAAATCAGGGAAAATGTGTTCCAAAGTGATATCGTACTATTACACTTATTAAAGTAGTATGTTGAGCAAATAATCTGAGAAGTTAGACTTCTCAGAACTTTCTAACTTCTGAGAAGTTAGAAAAAAGCAGGACTGGAAAAAAGATTCTTTAAAAACCGACAGCATATAGACAATACAACTTAGTTTGATGAGAGGATATAACTCAATCAATACATGATATCATGATAAGTGGAAAAAATATTGAAGTTGTCAAGGATTTAATTTTATTTGGATTCATAATCAGCACTTACACAAAGACTAGTTTATGTAAAAAAAATCCAACAATATATTGGACAAATCCATTGCATAAGACATATTTAAAAAATTTGAAAGCAAAATGTCATGTTGAGAACTAATTTGGATACCCTAATCCAAACCATGGTATTCTCAATTACCTGGTATGTATGAAAAGGTAGGAATGTGAATAAAAAAAATTGAAGAAGAATTGATAACTGAACTATGTGAAGATAATTGAATTTACCATAGACTGCAAGAATGATGAACAAACCTGAAAGAAATGTAGTCAAAATGCTCCTTAGAAGTAAAGATTGTGAGATTTTGTCTTGTGACCTTTGTATATGTTATTAGGAGGGACAAGTTCAAAAATGACTTCCTGCTTAGTAAGGTGGAGGATAAGAAAAAAAAAAAGACCCTCAAGAGATTGAGGGAGACGATGGGCTCAGACACTGCAACAATTATAAAGGTGGTGAATGGCAGCTCCCACTGCCCATAAGGTCACTGTGGGTCACAACCTATTTGTTAGCTCCAGGTTGCTCCTTGAAGGCAAGATTACAAAGTGCTATCTCGCATACTTTGGGCATGTTTCCAAAAGTGACCAGTCCTGGAGAAGGACATCATGCTTGGATGGGTGAAAGGTTAGTGCAGAAAACCCTGGATAAGATGGAGTGACACAGTGACTGTGAAATTGGGGTTAGGTGGCTCAGAGATGGTGAGATTGGCTCAGGATAGGGCAGGGTCACCATGAGTCCTAGTTGACTCAATGGCCAGTAAAAACAGCACCACAATTATATCAACTACAATACATTGTCAGTGGAGGCGGAAACAAATCAAAATGTGATTAAAAACATGGTGAAAGGGTATTGTTTGTGGCTGTTGTTAGGTGCCATCAAGTCAATTCTGACTCACAGATGGAAGCGTTGCCCTATCCTGGACCATTCCCAGTCACCTCTTTGTTTTAGTCATTGTGCCAATCCATCTTGTTGACGGTCTTCCTCTCCTTTGTTGACTTTCTAATTTTCCTCACATGATGTTTTTTTACAAGGACTGATCTCTCCTGACAGACACCATGTCCAAAGCATGTGACATGAAGACTCACCATCCTTGCCTCTAAGGAACACTGGCTGTGTATTTCCTCCAAGACAGATATATATATTTGTGTGTTTCTTTTGGCAGGCTACGCCATATGCAGTACTCATAGTGTGGTATAGGAATGAGTCACTGCTTTGGTGACATTTGAGAAGAGAAGTGAGAAAGTGTGGGTTGCTCGCAAATTTCTGGAGCAAGACTGTTCCAGGCAGAGGTGATAACAGGTGCAAAGGTGTAAGGGTACTTGTATCAACAATGGCCAGTGTAGCTGGAAGAGAAGGACTGAAAAGAATGGTAGGAGATGTAGCCACAAGCAATTTCAGGGAGGACCTTGTGGACCACACAAACACCCTGACTTCTACTAAAGTGAGATGAGAAATTGTCACAGAAGAGTGAAATATTCTCCTCTTTTAAAAAATTGTATAAATGATAAACAGAATAGGGTAGATATGATGACAGAGGGATGTCTGTGAGAGTGGTAAGAAGTAATCAGATTTTATAAGCTGAAATAATTTACTAATGAATTAGATAGGGGATGGGAAAGAAGACTCAAATTTAATGAAGGACCTGAAAACAGAACTAGACATGACCATTAATTGACATGGAAAATATTGCATGAGAAGAAAGCTTGAAAGCAAAAATTCAGAAATTTCATTTTGAGATACATTAGAATCCTGTGCTATTTAGATGGCATATAGATTTAAATTGGACTTAGTTACGACTCAAAGCTAAAAGTTCAGTGACAGTTGCTCATAATACAGAACAATGAAACTTGCCACACCTAAAATGCCAACAGCTTCTTCCTTGTAAAGTCATGGGCCCACTGCCCTTCAAGTGACTATGCCACGGTTCATTAACAGGTAAATGGACATGGTGATTTACAGCTTGTATGGTCCGATGAACTTAGGGCCCAAATTGTCCACTGACTTGTAGTAATTAAGTGACTTAGACCTGTTATCAAGACTATGAATCTCATCTATAAAACCAGCATTATCAAGGGTGACTGTGGGAATTCCAAAACACTTAAAAGTACTTCACCCAATGTTTGGGGCAGGCAGAATGCCAAATAAATGTACACTATTATTAGAAGTGGAAAAGGGTGATGAGAGCTGAAACTTAGCACGGATAGAAACCCCAGTGAAAAAGGAAGTGTAGGAGGAATCTGGCCAATAAAAAATATCAGTTTAAAATTTTCCACAGATACAATTAAAAATTATTAACAAGTCTAACCCAATTTACCCCAAAATCTTCCTTTTAATAGGCAATCATTATTAAAAATATTTTTAAAGTATCTTGCTTTTTTCTATTCTGGAAAATTGATGTGGTTTAGCACTTGGAACTGATTACACTAGTCTCAGAATGCAGGTGCTAAAGAGCTGTGAACGAACGGTTCAGGAGCTGTGACTGGCTTGTGGAAGTATATCAGAGAGCAGGTATCTATAGTGTCAATAAGGAGCTCTGGTGGTTCGAATCTACCCCCAAATTCTGTAGGAGAAAAAGACCGTATCCTCTGGTAAAAGTCACACTCAGCAACTGGGGGTGGGGGTAAAGGGGTGTCTCAGTAAGTCAAAATCAATGGGCAGCAGTGAATTAACCTTCAGTGAGACCAGACTTCCCTGCTTCTTGCTGCTATATATCAAGTCTAAACTGATTCATAGTTCATCCTCTAGCGGGTTTTCAGAGGCAGTAATTTACATGAAGGAGTTTGTCTTTCTTCCAGAAAGCATCTGGTGGATTTGAACTGTATGCCTTTGGGTTGGCAATACAACTCCTTACCACTAAGCCACCAGAACTCCTTTTCCTGACTGCTTACCTTTGGGCAATTCTTACTGAGAAGAATCTTACCAGTTAACACCAGCTGTCAGGGACCTCTGCAGAGTACTAAAGAACAGCAATATCCATTTAAAGACTTAAAGGCACTTAATCCAAGCCATGGTCTTCTCAATTGCTTGCTCCACACATCTGAAAGTTGGACAATGATTAAGGACCACAGAACTGATGCCTTTAGATGTTGGAGAAGTGTGTTGACTATCGCATGGACTACCAACAGAACAGATCCTGAAGAAAGTAATACCAGGGTACTCCTTGAAGGCAAGAATAGAGCTCTATCTCACATATTTTCAGTATGTTGTTAGAAGGGGCCAGTCCTAAGAGGACTTCATGCATGTAAAGGTGGAGGGTCAACAAGAGGTATTTATTGATCTGTATTACTTTCATAGCTTTTAATGAGAATGTGGTTTTCTTCTAAAGCTGGAGTGTTTCTCCCCACAATTAGAAGAATTTTATTCATTATGATGAGCTATACCTCGATTCCTTATAACACTGCCTGGCACACAGTAGGTTCTCAATAACTTGATTAACACGTTGCTGCAAATGACTTCAAAATGTGTTTCTAAGCACTGTCATCAATTTAAAAGTGTGTGGCAAGGTGTTAAACCAATTTTTAGTTATTTTTAATTTTTTAATCATAAAGACATCATTAATACAGGGTTTAGTTAATGATAATTATTTAACTTCTGTTCTAATATTTGTTCTAAACATTAGAGCTATAATAATATTATCTTATATATCTAATAGAGAGCTCTGGTGGCCTAGTGGTAAGAAGCTGTGCTGCAATCCCAAAGACACATGGTTCGAATCCCCCAGCTACTCCATGGGAGAAGAAGGAGTAATCTCCGTGGCTATTAGTGTCTCTAAAAACCTGCTGGAGGGTCAACTATGAGTTGGTTCTGATTAGATGGTGCACAACAACACATACCTCATATCAATTTTATATATATAATAATATTAGAGTTATATTTAAGTTATAAACTGCTTAGCTACCTTTTAATTAGAAAAGTCTGTATCAGAAATTGAAGAAAGGCCAAATAGCTTTGGCAGTTTGAATCTACTAGTGACTCAAAGGGAACTAGATGGGTAGTCTTCTCCCATTAAGATTTCCAGCCTCCTCAACACCCCCTGGAGGTAGCCATGAGTTAGTTGACTGAGTGACTGAGTTGATCTAAAGCTCAAAAGAGGGTCAACATGCTGAAGTCACCGGTACTGTACTGGCCTTGAAGTAGCTTCACAGGTAAAATTACTGGAATATATACTCTCAGAATAGACAGTTCAAGAGTATCCAGTACTTATTCAACTGATAATTATTAAAGAATGAGTACAACACTAGTATTAGCACAAACATTTATTTACTAACCAAGGAGATGATTCTACTTAAACCAACATTTTGAAATAGCTGCATGTAAAATGTTTATGGCAGAAAGAAATGAACACAGTAGTGGGGGAAAAAACAACAAAATAAAGAAGCGGTATGGGGATCTGCTCATTGAACTGAGCTTGTTCATTCTTATAACTAATTCCTTTCCAAAGCAAAGATGGAATTTTTATTCTACTTTTTCATAGATCCGAGTGCAGGTGACATTGTTCATAACACATTCC